TTTGCAAGATTGATAGTACCTAGTATTGACACGTAGATGGGAAAACCTCATTAATCCCTGGTGGGAATTTTAAGTGGTGCGTCCCACCTGGAAGGCAATTGGCAATATCTGTGACAAACTTAAACAGGCGACTCCAGTCTCAACAGTTTCAGTTCATGAAACTAATACCACAGAAATACTCTCTCAGTTGTGCAAAGATGTAGGTGCAAGGCTGTTTGTGCTCATTATGTGACCGCTCTCGTCCTTCTATTCCTTGTCTTATTTCAGAACAACCTTCTGAATATTATTATTGTTCCTATTTTCAGGTAAGGCTTTGCAAAATATTTACAAACCTTGCCCCAGTACCATACAGCTAATGAGTAGCCAAGCTGAGATGGAAACCCAGATCTGTTTCACTCCTAGGCTCCCCAGTATAATTCCATTTTTGTAGGAAATATGAAGAAAGTATATGTACGTGTTGATATTAGCGCAGTAGGGAGTAAATAAAGGTTTGCTTGGTGCACTTCATCTTTCTAGACTGTCCAGGTGTTTAACTTCTCTCCTTGCATCCCAGGCAGAGTTAACCACCCCTTCTGGGGTGCTTCCAGAGACACTTGTGCACACACCAAACACGCCTCACCAACCTCCATCTTAAACATTAGTTTTGATGTTTGCACCACTATTACCATGTTTTGTCCTTGGGGGCTGAGTCTGGCTTATTTGGTTTTATACCCCAATTCTTGGCATAATGTAGATAGATGCTCTCAGAACATTTGTTGAAAACCTATGAGGGTGTCATACACACTGAGCCAAGGGTCAGGGGGTCGGTTCAGGGTCAAGGTGTCAAACCAGATGACCACTGCTGCTATTCCTGGGAAAGGGCCAGTTGGGCGGACCAGGGAACTACGTAGCATTAGCTCCCATGGTTGCCTGAGCAGAGTTTGAGCCCCAGAAGGAAGCCTTCCACTGGCCAGAGCAGATTTCTGGGAAGCTTGTAAACCTAAACCTGCAGGACCCCTCAAGGTCCAGTACATACTTTTGTATTTGTGATTTTATAGGCTTTACTTTTGAGAGGATCCCCCAAATGACATGAGCTTCAAACTCCATCAAACCTGGATCCGCCCCGTCCAGAGCTCCTCCTTCTCTCACAGGCGGGACTCCTCCCTCCCTATTCCTGGGGCATCTATTCTTTCCTACGTGCTCCTTCAAAGGCCAGGTTTCTTGGTCCTGAGTGTCCCCCTCATCTGTCACCTTAATCGTCACCTTCTGAACTTCAAAGCAGTGTTCCGCAGGAAGGTAGACTGGGTGTCTTGGGTCTCCAAGGGTGTTCAAACGTTTCGGGAAGCCAAGGGGGAGAAACACATTTATCAGTCATCAGACCTCAAAGGTCTGAAATGTCAACTGGAGCTGCACACGGCTGCATTGCACCTACTCGCTCGGGGACACCGAGTGCTGTGCTCCTCAGAAGCCTGACTGGCAAACACATTCATCTATGATTAATTAGAACATGGAGAAACACAGTCATCTTAATGGGTCATTAAAAAAAAAAGTCATTTAATTGCTTGGAGACCAAATCTTTCAAAAGCAAATGTTTAGGGAGAGGCTCTTGGAAACAAAAATACTGAGAATCACTCCTTTAAACCTTCAGTCTCCAGAACAATTAGCCTCTTCAAAAGCCGAACAGATCCCAGAGCCAGGAGCAAGCAGCTCTGAGCACATTAGGTGAGATGGAGCAGAAAACACACACCCTCGCTGCAGGACTGTCTCTCCCAGCGTGGGGCTCCCGAAGGCTCGTATGGAGGGAGAGAAACTGATGGGTTTTATTGTAATGAAGGGATCATTGAATGGCTCCTGCAAAAATCCCCCTGCTACCCTGGACTCTGCTCACACAGCCCGATTCCCCAGGCGGTAGGAGAGGCTGTCTGCCTGTGGCATCTGGTTTAAGAATAGTTCATCTTTCAAAAAAACTCCCATCTTAGCCCATCTCTCAGCCCCACGTTATCTAGTCTGGAAATGTTCATTGGCCAGCAGAAAAGAGCAAGAGAAGAAAAGTGAGGGAGGAAAGTAAAATAGAGGAGCGGAGTTAGATGAGAAAAGGGAAAAGGGGGTATGACCAGTGCCACCTGAAGAACAGCAAGGTCTGGGAGAGAGCTATGGCCACGAAGCCAAGGGTATCCTTTAGAAACCCTCAGGAAAGGAAAGAGTGCCTTCCCTACAGACGTAAGATGCCTCCTCCTTTCCAGGTCTTCTCTCCCCCTCCCCCTGCATTTCCAGAGCCCACTTCTCCAACACACGATGCTAGTCTTCCAGCCAATCTGGGGGAGTCCTATGAGATGACTTTGGTCTTTCAGGCTCGTGATGGGATTTTGCAAAACCCAAACGATACATAGACATGGATCAACTGATTCCTCAGATACTACCACCTGGGGCAAATGTGGGCCAGCTGTTGAACACCTGGACCACATCAACACTCAGCGCCAGAGGTGGAGCAGAGGCTGCAATTCACTGAGATAAAGAGGAGCCTCTTGGACCAGACAAGCACAATGAGAGCCTGGCAGAGCCCAGTGAAGCATCAGCACTGGTCCTTGGCCTGGCTTTTCTTCGCCTTTCCAGTTTTATTATAAATACACTCATACAATAATAAGTACCACTCTACTTTTGTATAACACTTTATAATTTAAGCATTTCCCATGCATTATCTCACTGGATCCCTCAGCATTTAAAATTGTTTAAAAACTAGCTAATGTCAAATGTATTTATAATTTTCCCCGCCCAACCCACATAATTTCCACAAACACTGTCTATCGCTTTCTAATAAATGCAGCACATGCAAAAAAAAAAAAAAATCCTTTCACCTTTTTCTCTGTTTTTTCTAAAGTAGTCTTTCCTCTTCTGGCCAGTTCTCTTGACACCATTATTTTGGGTTTTTGCAATTTTGCTTTCCTGTCTACATCCCCAAGATTGTAATCCTTTGTTCCCTTTTCCACTTACCTTCGGAAAAAGGTTTGTTCTTTGCACCTGTGGCTTGCCCCTTACCTCCTCCTCCCACACTTATTTAGCCAACTGTCTTCAAATTCTTTCCTGACCAGAGGACAATTAGAGGCACAAAAATAGGTGCTGCTGAATCACCTCCTACGTACATCCTCTCCCTGCAGCTGCCTTCTGCTCCTAAATCTTATACTGTCTTGAATCCAACGCTTCCATTACTAGCCAGGTGACCTTGAGAAAGTTATTTAACCTCTCTGAACCTCAGTTCTCTAACTGTAAATCAGGATACTAGGAGAACTGACCTCATATGACTGAGGCTTAAAGAGGTAATGATGCCTGGGTACCACGGAGCCTCGTGCCTGGCATGGAATGGATGCCTATAAATATCAGTTCCTAAGCTCTCCATCACACTTTCCCCTCTTTTCTCACTAAGAGTGCAATATTGTGAGAACACTTAACTGTGGAATCACAAGACCTATGTTTAATCACAGCTTCTGCCTCCTTGGGCAGACGTTTATTATGATCTCATTTTGCATGTGCATAAAATGAGGATAATGAAAATCTTCTCTACCCATCAATCAACATGGTTGTAAGGATAAAATGGAAAGAGTATAAAAGTGCCTTCCTAACTAAAACATGACAAACTGACACAATTATTACCGATAAGGCATTCACAGCATACTATGTTTTGTCCTACTTTAAAAAATGTCCTGTAGCTTCCTGAGGAGCTTTTAAAAAAAATAGTAATAAAACACAAATATAAAATTTATCACTTAACCATTTTTAAGTGTGCTAAGTATATTTCAAATTGTTGTGCAACCAATCTCCAGAACTTTTTCACCTTAAAAAACTGAGGGAGCGTTTTAAATGTCCTTATCCTTAGAACACCAGCATCTACTGTATAAAGATCTATTTCCTTGTTGAGATTTCTTTCTTAAGCCCTCAAGGCTAAGGTGGGTCATTGAATTTGTTCTGGGGCAGCCAGCAGAAGATGTTTTAAAGTTAAGAGCTGTCTGGGACTTCCCTGGTGGGGCAGTGGTTGAGAATCTGCCTGCCAATGCAGGGGACACGGGTTCAAGCCCTGGTCCGGGAAGATCTCACATTCCGCAGAGCAGCTAAGCTCATGTGCGGCAACTACTGAGTCTGCACTCTAGAGCCCATGAGCCACAACTACTGAGGCCACGTGCCACAACTACTGAAGCCCGCACGCCTAGAGCCCATGCTCCGCGACAAGAGAAGCCACCGCAATGAGAAGCCCATGCACCGCAACAAAGAGTAGCCCCCACTAGCCACAACTAGAGAAAGCCCACACGCAGCAACAAAGACCCAACGCAGCCAAAAATGTAAAAAAAAAAAAGACAGCTGTCTCTTAAAAGATCAGTGGTTACCAGAGGTTGTAGTTTTGGGGGAGGGGGAGGGGGACGCTGCAGTCTGATTGTCTGTGTTTGGATCCTGCTTCTATATGATTGTGGTCAAAGTTACTCTCTGTGTCTCAATTTTCTTATCTTTATAATGGGTATAGCTTTTGTCACAAAGAATTTTTGTGAGGATATAACAATTGAGAATAATGGGCAAGGAATTTCCTCCCAGAAAGCAGATCTAGGGCCTGCCAGATTGGTTTTACTTTACTGCCAGGGCAAGATGTACCCTCTTTTTCTGATCAGTAGGATTTGATATATTCTATGGTCCAGTGTGAATTCCCTACTTTCCCTTTGTCTGAGTTAGGTTGGAGTTTTTATTGTGGTTACTGGTTCCCTCCATACCTTTGGATATCATGTATATGGGGGCAGAGAAGCTGTCTTTTCAACCTACAGACTGTGGTCCTGAGAGGCACACACAGACCCAGTGGGGAGCTCTGCACAGTGACCAGAGATCCTGGACTTTGAACTGGATGAGACTTTGGGCTTTCTTCCTTGGCAATGGAGGGTGGGAATATGTAAAAGAATAGGGACCTTGGGTGCTGAAGAGCCAAAGGAGTAATTATGACAGATATCATTCAATAGCTCATCAGTATTCATTTTAAATTACCTTACCTTGTTCCTTTCCCAGTGCAGAGGTAAAGGCACAGTTCTCCATTTCCCAGTTTCCTTACAGCGGCAGTGACATGTAATGCAGTCTGGTCCATGAAATGTAGGTGAAAGTCCACTGGAGAAGTCTTAGCTTCCTGAGTGAAAAGAAAGACTTGTAAGGAGAAAGCCCTTCATTTTTTTTTTTTCTTTTTAAAAAATTTTTATTGGGATACAGTTGATTTACAATGTTGTGTTAGTTTCAGGGGTACAGCAAAGTGAATCATTTATACATATATCTACTTTTTTTTAGACTCTTTTCCCACATAGGCCATTACAGAGTATTGAGTAGAGTTTCCTGTGTTATGCAGAAGGTCCTTATTAGTTATCTATTTTATATATAGTAATGTGTATATGTCAATTCCAATCTCCCAATTTATCCCTCCCCGACTTCATCAATTCTTCTTCTTACTGCCTTAAACATGGATGCAAGGCTACGTCATGGTTGCAACCATGAGGCGACAAGCCAGAACATGTAAGCCGGGAGGCCAAAGATGGAGGAAAGGAAAGAAAGTGCCCAAGTCCCCAGTGGAATGATTGAGCAACTGCTTCCCCGACCCACCTGCATCTCCACTACTTGAAATGTGAATCTCCTATTTGTTTATGCCATAGTTGGCTCTCTCTCTCTCTCTTTTTTTTTTTTTTGCTGTTGATTGTAATCCTAGCTTATATAAGAGCAGGGGTATTAAACTTTTTTTGTTTTAATTTAATAACTATCCCCTGAGAATGGGGTTCCTCGAAACGTCAGGGGATGTGGGAAGAGTTGTCTATTTGCACAGTGAAGAACTTAGGTGGTTCTGGGCCTGAAACAGACAGCATTCTCTTCACTCAGGGGCTGTGAGCTTTAGTAGAGGATGAGAAATTTGTCTCTCATGCAAGAGCTAATTTACAGACAAGAGGCTCCTTGGAAGATGGCCAATGTGACCCTTTCGAGACTAGGCCCAAGACATAGTGTAGAACAATGGATTCGCAGAATAACACTCGGACTGACCAACTCCTGATTGTATTTCAGGAAGATGTGACAAGATGGAGTTAAGTTGAGCTGTAGATAGTAGGATATCGCATGCTCATTAAACTAAACTTTAGTTACCTATGTTGATAAATTACTGCATTTGTGAGTATTGGGGGAAAGAGGATTGGGCTTCCTTTTCTCAAATATTCTTGGTCTTCTTTATACGTTTCACTTGAAAGGTGTCAATTGTCTCTCTTCGCACAAAGAGAAAAACTCATGCTCTGAAGATAGGCAAGGTGCTGCTAATGGCCCTCCTAGGCAAAGAAGTGGGGAGAAGCCAGCCGAGCTGGAGCAGAGATGTGGAAACTCTAAGGATAGGAAGGCCGCAGAGATTCTGTGTTCATCCCAAGTTTTCACCAGCGTTCTTTCCTTGAACAATTGAGTTCCTTCCCAATAGCTGTACATTAAATTAAATTGACACCATTTGGCTGCACCCTTTGGACATTTTACTGTTTTTTCCGTACTTCTGTACATTTGTGGGAAATTGTGTGGTCCTCAGCAGTAAGGTTACAGGACTCTGGAGCATGGCCCCTCTCATCAGCCTGATGGCTGCTGCTTTCTTGAACAGTGATGTCTCTTGTGACGACTTGCAGCTCTTGGGGAAGGCAGATACATTCTGGACCTTTCCCTCCTATGTGCCACTTGCCATCTTTCTCTTTGTTCTTTTTCTTGATTAACCTTCTCTATATTCACTCATCTCCATGACCCTGTTTATGGAAACTTCCCTCGTTTGTTCTTTGATGTTTGCTATTTCTGTTCCTCTTTCTTCACCTTTACAGGGGAAACATACTCTACATTGACCACTCCTGAGTGAGAGGAGAGTTATTCTCTTATTTAAAGTCCCTGGCTTGGTGCCTCCCTTTGAACATTTTTTAAATATATTTTTAACATGTCCTATTTCTTCATGGCATCTTGAAGAGGGAGCAAGTCTCCTCTCCCCTTAATGATCCCTTTCATAGATCCCTTCCCTACTTTCTTCCTGTTCCAATAGGAATTTGCATATGCTCTATTTGATCTTGCCAAGTTTCCAAGATTTTGAGAATTCCATTTTGATCAGGAGAGAGAATCTTGGTCATCACCCCACTTCCTTAAGCCATGTGACTTTGGGTCATTCACTTGGCTCTGTGCACCTCTGCTTTTCCATTTTCATAAAAGGATAAAAATACTTTACCGTAAGGCAAAGTGATGGATAAGATAACTTCTCAAGTACCTTTACTGCTTTAAGACCTGGACTTCTATGATCGGAAAAGAGATGACTTTTGTTTTGTAATAACCTTTATTTCATGATTATCCTGTCCTTTTTATTAGCCATTTCTCTCTCATTTTTCTTTCAGTAAGTTTATGTCAGATTATTGGGATAATGAAGCTACCGTAGCACTTACAGTGTTCAAATCCTTTTAATATGCATTAGCTAGCTTTGTTCCATTGCTAGTACACATAACTAACGAGCCTTAAATTCTGCATCCTTAAAAATTATCACATAAATTACGATCATGCTATGCTTCCTCTCTGTTACTCCACTTTCCCCCATAAGATTATATCAGGAACCGATTGCAAAGTTCATATATGAACCTTTACCTTATTCCTTTTTTTAAAATAAATTTATTTATTTTATTTATTTATTTTTGGCTGCACTGGGTCTTCACTGCTGCTCCCGGACTTTCTCTAGTTGCAGCAAGCGGGCGCTACTCTTCGTTGTGGTGCACAGGCTTCTCATTGCGGTGGCTTCTCTTATTGTGGAGCACGGGCTCTAGGCACACGGGCTTCCATAGTTGTGGCATGTGGGCTCAGTAGTTGTGGCTCGTGGGCTCAGTAGTTGTGGTTCGCAGGCTCCAGAGCGCAGGCTCAGCAGCTGTGGCGCACGGGCCCAGCTGCTCCGTGGCATGTGGGATCTTCCTGGACCAGGGCTCGAAACCACGTCCCGTGCATTGGCAGGTGGGCTCTCAATCACTGCACCACCAGGGAAGCCCTACCTTATTCTTTTTAATGGCTACATAATATTCAATTGTATGGATGTACCATAATATATCTAATCAATCTCCTAAAAATGAGATAATTAGATTTTCAGTTTTTTGCTATCATAAATAATACTGCAATGAATATAATTGTACATATATATTCATGCAATTATTTCTGTAAGATATTTTCCAAGATGTAGGATCACTGCTTCTAGGATAGGCTTACTCTTAGTTTAATAGCACAGAGTCCAAAATCTTTCCATCCATATATTACTTTTTAACATCTGGCTGTCCCTCTTCCTCATGACAACTGAATTCTTCTCTATTTAAAATATGGCATTGTCCTGAAATAGATATGTTCTTCCTTCGATAAAAAAATTCTAATTCTGAAAGTTTATAGAAATAATTAAGGATGAATACAGAGATCAGCTATAAGGACTTTAACAAAATTGTCATCATTATTAGTATGTACCTATTATGTGCCAGGTATTGTATAAAATGTTTAAAATATATCATTTCACTTAATTCTAACAACAAGTTTTAGTGTATGTATATTATTAAACTCATTCCACAGATGAAGAAACTGAGCCTTAAAGAGATTAACTTTCCCAAAGGTATACAGTCAACATGCAAGGAATCTGGGAGCTGAACTTAGAAGTCTTGTCACTGGAATCCACAGGTTTAACCTTGACATCAACTCCTTATGTCACAGTATGCAGTAAAGAAATGTTGGAAATAGTCTAACTATCCAAAAATAAAGGAATAGTTAAATAAATATGATATACTTTTACAATAAATATTATATGTAGCCATTAAAATTGCTGCTCAAATTTATTTATTGTTCCTATACAACAATATATTCCTGACATGGTTATTTAATGGTTATTTAATGAGACATTGCAAAATGGCATGAAGATGAGCCCATATTTGTTTTTTAAAAAAGGTGAGTGAACTTAGTTCCTTCAATATGCACAGAAGAATTAGAAGAATGTTTGCAAGATTACCTTTGGGTTGGTAGGATTGAGAATATTTTTAATATTATTGGGTTGGCCAAAAAGTTCATTCAGGTTTTTCCATAGGATGTTACAGAAAAGTCCGAATCGGGCTTACCTGATGGCTCAGTGGTTAAGAATCCGCCTGCCAATGCAGGAGACACGGGGTTCGAGTCCTAGTCCAGGAAGATCCTACATGCCACTGAGCAACTGAGCCCGTGCGCCACAACTACTGACCCTGCGCTCTAGAGCCCACAAGCCACAACTACTGAGCCTATGTGCCACAACTACTGAAGCCCACATGCCTAGAGTCCACGCTGCGCAACAAGAGAAGCCACCGCAATAAGAAGCCTGAGTACCACAACCAAGAGTAGCCCCTGCTCGCTGCAACTTGAGAAAGCCCGCATGCAGAAACGAAGACCGAATGCAGCCATAAATAAATAAAAAATTTATATTAAAAAAAAAAGTCCGAATGAACTTTTTGGCCGACCCAATATCTTTTGGGTTTATTTCTTCTGATTACTTTTCTATAATGATCATATATTACTTTTGTAATAAGATTAAAATGAAGGCTTTAAAAAATAATAAAAAAGAGATTCAGTTTTGCTACAGAGGTGTTTTTGTTTTTACATATTGCAGAAGGAGATTTGATATTATTGAAATGGGTTTGAATTTTTAATAAATTTATTTCACCTATTTGATATTTCAGCTTGTTTCAGGTATTACCTGTAAACTGATATAAAATAACCAACCTTTTCCTTTTGCTCTTTTTGGGAAAGTCATGAATATTTGCAAGTCTGTCTTTTTACTTTCCCTTTCACTCTTTTACTTTCTCTTTCACATTTGTTCATCTTTCCAACCAGCTCCCATAGCTTTTGAAAATCCACATTCCTCTCACAGTCTTACCTCTACTTCTGGAGATGTTGGGCTCTAATACACCTTTAGCTTAACACCCCTGTCTCCTGACACTATAGAGTTCCTGTGGAACCTCTGTATTCATTTTGTAGGAAGCTAATTACAGCAACTATACATATTTAACTAGGGTTTTACAGTTTAAACGTGCTTTTGCATGCATAATCTCATTTGATTTTCCCTGTAGGTCTTTATAGGAAGTAGGGAAAACCTCATGAA